AAAAAAAAAAAAAAGAAAGAAAAAGAAAAAACTACGATTTCATTAATTCATAAAAAAAAAATAATAATATTTTAGAAATCATCTAGTCATTCTAATATATATTTTAAATTATAGAATTTAATATGTATACATGAAAATATTATATAACTATGCGATCGACTTTAACTAACCGTTGTAAATATCTATCAGATTTAGATTTAAAAGCTGTCAAAGCAGCTTTCTCAGAACTTGGAATTCGTTCAGTTATAGCAGACCAATTTATTGCTTTAAGTGCTTTTCGTGACATTTCTTTGTCAAAATTCTTTTGCTTAACGTAACACAATTTCTGACACAACTTCTGAACAATTACGGACCACGAATATGTACTTTTCTAGTAATATCGATTAGTTGAATTTCTGTGATTAAAACGAGATATCGAATATATATATTCGATATAAATATTCGATTTAAATATATTGATTTAATCGATATTTATTCATTATAAACTGAAGCATTTAAATATTTATACATAAAAATAATATAAATTGAATATAATTATTTATTTAAATATATAAAAAAAAGAAAACTATGTATATTTCTAAAAAAATCTGTTTTATATATTGAATCAATGAAAAATTATTTATTATTTATTCATAAATAATTATATGTATGTATATATTAATGTCAATTAATCTTACGATATAATATTAATTTGATATATATATAAATTTTTATACAATATATAATAACTTTTTATACAATATATACAAATTACTTTTAAATTTTCGGTTAATTGTAAAGTTTATTTAAAAATTTTAATTTAAAAATATAAAATTAATAGTAGAAAATTTTATTAGTTTATTGTAAAATTAAGAAAAAAATCATAAATAATAAAAAAATCGAATAGATTCATTAAGCGCGTAGCTAATATAACTGTTTATATTATATATAGTATATTAATATTAATATAAGATGTAAATTTATTTATATTACTTGTTATAATATAATATACTATATATAAATTTACACATATTCATGTCCAAGAATATAATCATTGTCATGCGTACTTACATACGTGCATTCATCATATAAGTACAATCATACATATAGCATAGTAAATCTGTAGTGATGAAGCGCAGACGAAAGGATCGATAAAAGAGGAAGATCGTGGTCACGGGGTACATGGGGTATAGAAAAGGAAAATAGAATAGGAAAGGCATAGAAAGAGTGAAATAGATATTTGGTGAGTGTAAGTATATGCGAGATTGGGTGCTGTGGGAATAAAGTGGGCGGAGAGGGTGGAGTGGGCGGCAATGGTCAGGCGGTGAGCATAAAGAGGATAGGATAATATCGGTGCGCGACCTCCGCGGTAGCTTCAAGTTCGCCGCTTTAATACCGGCAGATCTATGATGTAGTTATGCCGAAGAAAAGTACTAGACATGTGAGAAACTCGGGATTAACAAGAAGTTCTCATCATAAAAGCAGTAATCTTGGAACGACATCAGAATCGAAAACGAAACACTTTCTAAGCGTTCGCATTGGTCTTACCAACGGTAAACGTTGGCTTTCTCTCAAAAAACGCTTAGGTCTGTCAACGGATGAAGATGTTGCAGTTTATTTGTTGGATCTTGCCGAATCTGTTTCCAGGTAAGATTGTGTTGGATACTTATGATACATTAAACATACATTTTTTTCTTAATTTTAATTTTAAAGTATTTAAATTGACGTTAATATTCTGTTCGCGTTATAAAAATTGTTTTAATCGATACTTAAACATTCATATCACTCGAAAGCGGGACTTCCCCTCTATTATGTCCAAACTTTCCCTCGAATCGCCATCTTGTGGGGTTGATATTAAAAGGGTGAAAGTAATCGATAATTTTTTATTCGTTAAAAATATAATCATTAATTGTATCGATTTCACTGATTTTTTATTGATTTTGATTTCCTTTGAGAACACGGATCGACCTGTACAGAAGAAATGTCTATTTTATTTAACTCCAAATACAAAATACGTGCAGGTAAATCAATTTTTCTTTAATATTTATAAAAATGCTAGTAATTGTTGACCGTTTTATATTTTAAGTTTGATTCCCCTTTTTTTTTATTTTTAGAGACTAATTATCTATACTATTAATGTAATATTTTTTTATATCTATATTTCATAATATTTATTTGTTTTCACTTAATTACACATTTTTGTTTGCTAGACACAACACTAAATGCAATGGAGAAGAGAGAAAGGAAATGGCTGAGGATGAAAAGAACAAAACAGAAATATTACAAACTGAAGATTTGATAGAAGATACAAAGGAATTTGTTCGTCGGAGTTTAAGAAAACAAAGTACTAGTACAGTTTTAGAATCTGAGGCACTTTCTATTGATTCAACACAAACCAAATTGTCCAATGATATTGAAGTGCATATTCAGCGTAGCTCAAGATCTAAACATCATAAAAATAAAACAAAACATCATAAAGATAAACGGAAAAGAAGAAAACATTTTAAAGTTGAAAATATTATTTCACCACTTGAATCTGTTAAAAGATCTTCAAGTGATATAACATCAGCAGATGAAGATCAAATTTCCTTTAAAAAAAATAACTCTAAATCAGACAATGGAATAGATATTGAATCAAATTTAAAAAGTAATCTTCATATTACTACAAAAACAGAATGTTATGACAAAGAAAATATTATGACAAAGACTGAAAATTTAGATAGCATAGAATATGTAGAAAATGTAAATATTAACAAAAATGTACTTTATCATAATATTGAAGATGTCGATATGAAAGAAATTACAATGGTTAGTGACAGCAATGAACAATCACAATCTAAATTAGCAACATCATCAATTACTAAAAATATTAATAGAATTGTGATAGAACAAGTTTCAAATGCAAAAGATACAGTATCTATCATAAATTCTCATGTCCAGTCTGATGAGACAAAAGATGATGAGAATAATTTAGATGATATGCAATGTGTTAATATAAATTCCAATTGTTCACAAATTAACATAAATACAAATCAAGAAATAGAGGATCGAAAATTAAAAAAGAAACGAAAAGGAAAATATGATGTTGAAGAAGATGATGATGAAAATATAAAAGAAGATTCATGTGAAGATTTTATAGATGATTCTGTATATAAACATAGAAAAAAAAGGCACAAACATACTAATGAACATAAAAATCGTAAACATCACGATGTACGAAAAGCACCGCAAGATGGAATAATTATGCAAGAAGATAAGAATATTTGTTCTATAATAGATGATAGAACTTCAATTACAATTGGAAAACTTCAAAGTGAAAATGTTGAAAACCAAATGTCTGAGCCTCAAAGATTAGCTATTAAAATAAAACTCTGTCAAGAATGTAATAATCGTCATTTACAAGATGCTTGTCCTTTAATAACACCTCAGTATGCTATTTCAGATTCTATATCATATGAAGATTGGTTAAATAAATATAAAGAAAATACTGAAGTTGTAAAAGCCATAAAATCAGATGATCCTATGTCTGAAGGATATGGAAAAATAACAGAAGATAATGAATCAGATGATGAATCTTTATTGATCGAACAATCTAAAACAAAAATAAAAACTCAAAAAGAGGAAAAACAATTAACTATAGATTTGGATCGACCATTATATGCTAGAGATTCTTTACCTGAATGTTTTGAACTAAAAATAACTAATTCAGAGCATGGGCTTGGAATATATGCAAAAAATTCTGTTCCAATGCATGTTAAACTAGGTCCTCTGATTGGACAACCAGTTAGAGAGATGGATATTCCTGATGACTTTTCTATGAGACATATTTGGGAGGTAAAATCAATGCAATATCTATCTTTGTATATATAAATATACATACAAAATCATATATATTTTTGTATATTAAATTTATTGATTATAACTATTACTCTTAAAAAATTTCTATAATGAAATAATATATTTCTTTTTTTTTAGATAGATAATAATGGTAAAACTTTGTATGTAAGTACTACTAATCCACTAAAAAGTAATTGGATTCGTTATATTAGACCTGCTGAAACAAAAGAGGAAAGAAGTGTAGCTGTAATAACAAAACAAGGAGAATTGCATCTTGTCACTACTCAAAATATCATATCAGGAATGGAATTAACTTATTGGGCAGATTCTCAATCTTCTGCATGGACACGAAAGAATAAAGTAGACAAAACAAGTATAGTATTATTCCTTTGAATTATGAATTAAATAAAAGTAAATGTCATTTCTTTAATTTTTTTTTTTGTTTTATTTAGATTGTGGAGGATGTAATTTAAATTTTGCACATCCAATATACTATCGACTACATTGTTGTATCTTTCATGATACTAATTATAGTTTAACTATAAGAAAATATCATTGTAAGGTAAATAATATTTGAATTATATTTTATTGCATTTTTGAACTCAAATATATATATGCATTTATTTCATATTTCTAGGTATGTGGAGCTGCTGTCCTGGGTAAGGATAATATTATGAAACATGCAGCAGAATTACATGCAGGTCGAGGTGCATATCAATGTCAATATTGTAAAAAATTCTTTTTACGTTTAAATTATTTGGAAATGCATCGTACTTATGGATGTGCACAAAATCCACAACGTTCAAGACCATTATGTGATTTTTGTGGACGTAAATTTTGCCAACCACAAAAATTAAAAGTGCACATTAAACGAATGCATAGTGGTAAATATTTGTATAACATGATATATAAATTTATCTCTAAAGTTTACTTGCAATTTAAATGAATGTTTAGATATGTCTGAAGTGCTCCGGGAATTTCAATGTAAATTATGTTTGAAACTTTTGGGATCTCGTGCTGCTCTTCAACGTCACATGAAAGAAGTTCATCATAAAGATGTAGTTGGTGCTGCAACCTGTGATCGATGTGGAAAAATATTTCAAAATAAAAGTAATCTCAAAATACATATGTTAACACATAGCGGAGTAAAACCATTTAAGTAAGATTGCAATATTTGTTTATGCAATATTATATATTTCATTAGCAAATTTGGTAAAAACGTTTATTTTATTTTTTTTTTTTTTGAATTGCAGATGCAAAGAAAATGGTTGTAAAGCAGCTTTTACTACTAAACAATGTTTACAATTTCATTACAAAAAGGTACATGGTCTTACAGAAGAAATGATGCCAAAAATTGAACGTTCTGTTGCTTACACTTTTGATGCATATAGTGGTGGACTTGTTGAAGATGTTGGTCGTGGAAAAAGTCCTCGACCAAGTAGAAAAACCTTTCAGGTTCGTTCTTTAACAAAATTTATTTTATTTTATAAATATTAATAAAAGTAAATCATTTCGAAACACGGTATTCGCTATGTAATTTATAATTTCAGCAAGAAAACGATTATAAAATATTTATAGATGATGGCAATTCCAAAAACGACTTAAGGATTGAAACGGAAAATATTTCTGCACATTCGACCATAATCGAGTTTAGTACAAGTCCCACAAATAAGTATAAAATGGAACATAATTCACGAATCTCAAATTCGTCATTTTTAATGGGTGCATCAACATCAAAAAGTACAGAAGCAGATGTATATGGTATATCCAGATTACAAAGTAAAGGAAGTAAAAAATGGCTTGGAGAATTTAATCCTCCAATTACTTCAGATATACTATCTAATACAATTCCTCATTTGTCAACAAGTGTTGTTACAGAAAATACTTATGAATTTGAAGATACTAGAAAAGAAATTGGTGATAAAGTATCATCATCAACAAATAGAACACAAGATATTATGGAAAATACTAAATTAGGACTTAGCGTTTATAGAAGAACTGAAAGTGCAAATGCTAGTTTATTAGTAGAAGCTGCTCTTGATGCTGCTGAACGGGATATAGGAGCAGTAACTAGTCCAATATTGGAGGATAATGATCGCGATACAAATCTTTATTCAATATCCAATCAATTACAATCTCCATTGCCTCAGAGATCACCAAATCATTTAGATTCTTATATACAGCAACAAGAAGAACTGATATCTCCTGCACCGACACCAGATAATAGAAATACACCACCTACACATTTACATGTCGATTATCAAATACATCGGCCTGTTGATTACATCAGTACACCAAGAACACATAATATCGATCAATATTTGCATCACGAAGAAATACCGCGAGTTTCTTCACCAAATAATTATATACATATTCAACAAGAAACTTTGATATCACCTTCAGCAACACCAAATCCTCGATATCAAGATGTACATCATCATCATCATCACCATCATCATCACCATCATCATCAAATATCAGATAATTTATCTAGTGATGAAGGTGATTCAGTTGTGCAAAATCTTAGTCTTTCGGTAAAAGAAAAGACAATGCAATTAGATCTCTCAACATCATATAAATATGATCCTCTTGAACAAGAATTCGCTAGAGAAAGAGCTAATTTCGAACCTCTTGTTCTTAATGGAGAACTTCAAGGATTGGATATGTCTGCTAGAGGATTTCATCATAATTTTGGTGTACAGATACAAAATGCGCGATATCATCATCATTTGTATGAAATTGAAAGACAAAGTGTTGATCTTAGTAGGACTGGAAGTTATTCGATATCACCAACTCCTCTTTCAGTAACTTCCCAAGTATCGTCTGGTTC